TCTATCTCCTCTTCCTCCTACGAAAGATTAATCGCCTTTACGATGAAAATAGCGTCGTATGAAAAATAGCAACGCGTATTACTACCGATTAGCTTCAGGACATGCCGCGAAATGAATTATTTATCCGCGCTGCAATTCTAGTTCGCGGTCTGGTTTTCAGCTGAACAAACTCGACATTCTCGTCGTTCTGACAAATGAACCGCATTCGAGAAGCCGCGAACCCGTAGTAGAATCTGAAGGAGCTATGCCTTTAAATCATGTAGCAGCCGAGACACCGGGTTCCACGGAATGCGGAATGTTAAAATGTCATGAGATCTATCGTTGATCTACCGTGAAACTAGAATTCGAGCTTTCTTGAACTGGCCTCGGGAGACTGTAGAGTCAAGGTGGTCATAGCGATCGAGGCGGCTAATGACCGATCACATGATTTAAGAAAACTTAGCATCACAGCAACAAGCATTTAAGAAAACTTAGGATCACAGAATCCACGGTCTCTAGGATCTATGAGGCCCGGAATCGATCCAGAAACCCGAGAATTTTCAGATATAACTTGGGATTTGAGGGGATTAAGGGTCGTAATAAATTTCTTTTCGGGTCTAGGGCATTCTTCATAGAACATTCTCGCGCGGCATAATCTGTCGGTGCTCCCGTAGCTTTCTGGCACGCGCCTTGAAAATGGCGTCGTACAATGACGTCATGTAATTCACCGTTGTACGAGAAGAAGGGAAAAGAGAGAGAGAGAGAGAGAGAGAGAGAGAGAGAGAGAGAGAAAGAGAAAGAGTATGTGTGTGTGTGAGTACGAGAGAGAGAGAGAGACTCGCACCAGCCGGGGATGGTCAGTCATTCTCGATTGGTCAGCTTGCAAACGGAGGGAGTGGTCGGGCCGGCTGGTTATATCGATCTCTTGAACTCGGCTGCTTCGCCAGGAACGAAGCGAAGCAGACGAGTCGCCGCATTGGCGAATACGAGAGAGATTCAAGAGAGTCCTCTTCGTTCTCTTCGCGTCGTGGATCCTTTTTAATCTTCCGCCCCGGGATCTTGGAATTCTCGATACTTCGCGCAGATCCTTTGCATTCCCGGACTCCACATTCGTAGAATGTGGAACGTAAGATGTAGGTTTCTAGGTTTCGCAGGGATTACTACTCTAAGCCTACGATTCTGGTTTCCAGATATTAATATTTCGCGATTTCGGCTCAGAAAATACGAAATTCCGACGATCCGGAGCCTCGGTATCCCGCCGATTATTCTACCTTCACTCACTCGTTTCTTTGTGCCTGCCGTGTGTAAAACGATGGCCTCTCCTGCGCCACCGCTTACAGGATGCGCCATAGACAACGGCATCGAAATTAAATTAAATCGGACACCCTCGCCCTCGAAAAAGCGAGAACTCGACCCTCGCTGCTATCCCTTCACCAACGGGGATGCGCGCATAGACGGGCATTGTGATGACCCTTATCAATGGGGGGAGGGGAAGGGTCAGACCCTTCGCCGGCTGGAATCCAATATACTTGAACTCGCTGTAAGCCCGACTGACCCCCCCTCTTGAACTCGTATGCACCGATGAGCGACTATTAATTACAAATTAAACCTCGCAAATCTTTCGGATCATCGACGTGCGCCCGACGCAATATTGCACACGTCGAGCCAGCCACTTTTCTCCCTGACGCATCCCCTCTCGATTAAAATCGATAGTTCAACTGCTTCAATGAAAGCAGCAAATGAACCCTTCGATGCCTCTTCGGCTCGAAACGTACGATAAGAGTCGTCGTTGCGAAAGGAAATTTTCTTGCGAAAATATTAGATCCCGAATTCTCAACATCACTCGATCTATTTTGCAATGTTTGACAGTGGCCGTAGTTGAGGGGATTAAACCTGACGAGCATCGCGCTCCACCCCCGGCAAATCTCTCTCTCTAAAATTTCACGCTGGAATTACGGCGGATCTCACGTCCCGCGTCTTACCGCAAACACCAGAGGACGACCAGAGGGGTAATACGGCAAACATCGGGCAATATTGCTCGGGTTATTCGACACACAATTTACCAAGCCACCCTTTGCCCCCTCGCCATTTGGCCCGAGCAACCCCGAGTATCGTATCGGCTTCGCGTGTTCGCCGACGAAAACGCGTGTACGCGGTTCGCATAAATCGTCCCGGCTGGTGACACTTATGGCGCATTACCCGACATTCGCGGTGCCGCAGGACGTATTGAATTAGGACGTCCTCCCACGAGGATTATACGCCGGCGTTTCTGTCCGGGATTTCCGCGCGTAGGATTAACGACACGCAGGGGTCACGGTGGCCGATTATCGCGACAGATTCTTCCCGTCGACAATGGGAAATGGGTGAGATTTCGCGAGATAAGATTGCGGCGGATCGACCCGTTAGCTCCTCCTTGCCACTGACGAAATGACGTTAGGTATCGCGCTAATATCAATTGATATCGTTCACTTCGTCAGCCCTCGCAATTTCGGCGAGGAGACGGGGATTCGGTCGCGCGAAATCGCGCGCCGCGTTTGTCATATTCCTAAGAATATGCGCGACGGAGATGTTGCCGTTTGAAACCTCAAACGCACACAAATCAGCGAATACAAAGTTACGGACGGACGCACCTGTTATGAATGTTCCAGCATTCAATATCGCGATATCAAAGAGCACCGGGAGATCCAAGGAATTCCCTTTAGTCCTTCCGACAAAGAAGCGAGGCGTACAAACTCCGAGGAAACCGGCTCGACGAAACGTTCCGCCGGAAATTGCCGACAATTCCTTCGCTTTCGCGCGACGCTAAAAATTCAATCGCGCGCAACAACATCGCGTATAACAACGCGGGGGAGTCGCGAGGATATGATAATTTTGAATTTCAATCGAGAGGAAACTCGTAAAGCTCACGCCGTGCCGTCTTTCGGTTTATCTCTCGATCAAGTCAATCAATTATCGCGTTCAACTTGTGTAGCACAACCGATCGCGTTCCGATCATTACGAGGAAGAAAAAGATAACATCTTCGCGACCTGAAGGCCCGTGTTAATAACTTGAAACTTGTCTCACGTGAGAGATATTCAGATTGTAATTTAGAACTGGATCTGAGTCTCTCAGTTAAGTCATATGATATACATGACATTATATTAGAAATGGGCGAATCAAAGATTTTTAATGTCGAATTAAATCGATGAGATTTCATCTGAATCGAATCAAATCGTTAAAAGAATTTTTAATTAACATAATCATTGAATTTAACATGAAAATAGTGATTTCAGTATGAGAGAGATAACATTGATCATGTGAAATCAATTCATTTTATAAGGTAAGAGATATATAATATTTATATAGTCGGTAAACGTGTATGGAATATAATTCCAGCCTTGAAAGCTGCGCAACGACACATATCAATCCGACAGTTATCGGCAAGAGGTTATCTAGAAGCCATTATCTTCTTTTAATATTTTTGAAGAAAATCTTAATGTATAACAAACTTTTCAAGTCATACTAATTCCCATAAAGCTGAATGTCTTTAATAGTTCTTCGTAATGCTAATGTGCGCGATCCATATTTCGAATATTTTTGAAATTTTCGAATTATTTGGATTCAAATCACAAGGATTCGAATTTGAACCGAATCGAATTTCACTTGATTCGATTCGATTCAAATTTGAATAGTTCGCACATCTCTACATTGTATTTCTGATCGTGATTCAGCTGAAAAAACTAACTCTAAATTCAAAACTGAGTATCTTACCTGCAACCTGACCAAATTTCAAGTAACAAGACTGTTAATACAAGCCTAAGTATCTCTTACGTAATGCGTTCCTTGCCTAAGAAGAATTTGGCGTGTTCACTTTACGTAATTGATCACCTTTGCGTTTTTGAGCGCAACGGGCGATCTGTTGCGACTATTTTCGGAAACTGTTTTCCTTCCCGTCCCTCGACGTCTTCCTCGTTCATTTTCCAACTCAATGACTCTCGATCAAATAATACTTCGCGTTCCACGCGACGTCGACTATCGCCTAGTCGCACACACGATCGGCTCTTTTGTGTTCGCGCTCGTGCACGTGTGTGCGCTCTCCTGCGCCAGCATGGCGACGCATCGCGGGTCGCACGTTACTGACTTTGAAGCAGGTAGATACGTCCACGTGCCGACACGTGCGTGCCGGTAGACACAAGCTCAATCTCCCGTACATCACGTGCCGGGGATCCACGAGACGTCGATCTGTTGCGCGATATAATCGAGCGCGCCTCTCGCTCTCTCGATGCGATCGGGAAATATTAAAGGAGAAATTGCGAGGGCGGCGGAGAGGCCGCGCCTACGAGCTTAATAGCTCGTAATAGCGCAGTGGCTTAATTGAAACAGTGGTGCGATGCATCAGAAGAGTAATGTCGACGCCGACATGTCGACGTCATGCTCGCGCGATTTTATTCAAATGATCGAGGAACAATTGGCCCGGACAACGGTGCCTGAGACCAAGTCCGCTTCGTAAAATTGAACGATTAGATGACGGATTGTGCCGCACGATCCAGCATCCAGCGCATCCTCGCCCCTCCCTCCTCAGACCACTCTAAGGACTCTGTATCGGCGACGATGATCTGGCGGTTCACCCTTCGGTATATCGAGATAAGAGATAATAAATTCGGCCGCAAGGAACATGAGATCTTAACTGGCCGCTCTCGTGACATCGGGCCCATCTGTCTATTCGTTCGTCCGTTCGCTCGTCCGCCCGTTCGTCCGTTTGTCCGTTCGTGTTGCTCAGCGGGTGCCATCACCAGTTCTGCACCCTCGCATCCGTCATAACGTTGTCTCCTCCTTTTATTACGCGACACGACGCCGATAAATAATTCCCGTGCAACGACAGGAGAGACGTCTCGGCTAAGGGAGGCGCTGCGAAACAGCTGATCGCGCTCTCGTGTAACGCTCACTTGGGATCTTGCGGGCGAGTCGCGGATCTTCCTTGTAGCACAGGAAGCGGTATGGTGCGCGCGCCTAACAACACTTGTTCTGTTCCGTGTTGCAGGACTCGAGTCCCAGGTGCAGGACTCCAAGGACCTCTACTGGTTCTAGGATCGAATGTTGGAGATCAGCAGGAGGAGTACGGCTTTCTTAAATTCGGACGACGACTGAACGATGTTCGTATGTCGATTAGTGAAAACGCTCGTTAACGCGATCAAGTCGTTGAGAACAAGAGAGAGAGAGAGAGAGAGAGAGAGAGCGAGAAAGAGAGAGGGGAATTTTGTTGAGCAAACACGACGGCGTCTCGTCGTCGAGCGCCCGTCGTTGTCGTGTACATAGTGTTACCTACGTCTCTTAAGGGTCTACTATTAGCGTAAACTCAGATAGTATTAGACGAATACTTGCGCGCACTATTACCTTCATAGTGACTGCTATCCGACGTTAAGAGGATTCAGCCGTGAGCACGCGGCCGAGAATCGTCTTCGGCTGGTACAATAGCGTAGTGCGATTTAGACCGTCTCGGAAGGCACCCCTGAGTTTCCCAAATAATCGGTAAGTGTTCTCGGTTTCCTCGCGAAGCGCGCGTGTGATCTTAGATCAACGAATCGATCGATGTGACGAATTGAGATCGGTGAACGAACGACCAAAACGATCAATCCTCCAACCAGAGGTTTCGAGGAGTTGAGGTTCGGCAAAATGGGAATCGAGACACCATGCGGAGAATTATTTGGCAAATTTAGCTGCCGACTTAAGTAAAGTATTTATTGACCAATGATCTTGCCATATATATATAAATATTATATATATATAATTATTATTATTATTATATATTAATTATTATTAATGTATCATAAACAATGGGCGCCGCAAATATTCTGAAGTCCCCCCGGTTAGTAAAATTAAAATAGTTATTACCCGACGAGTCAGCTATTTTTTGCACTCCCGGCTTAAGCACCTTTCGCACTTCTTATCCGCCCCCACCCCATCTTGAATCTCCCCCCCCCTCCGCTACGTCATCGCTTAGCATTTATTCGGTGCTATCGTGCCACCATATGGTCGCTCACCCTTAGCACACAGCAGCCGTCTCTCTCATGTTATCGCTGATTGTTAAATAAACAATTCGCATACCATATCGTCGCTTCTTCCATTCAACGTCCGTAATTGATGTTCTCATCGTTCCGAATTATCCTCGACTTTCACTTCGTGTCCTCCGATCTTGAGTAATTTCTTGAGTTATCGAGTGTGATTATCGGCGTCGCGTGATAATGAAATAATATCTCATTGTGTGTCGCCTTCCTGTTCAGTTGTTCCTCCCTTCTAACCTGCCCGAGTCGAAATTTTGCTCCTACTTTCGACCTCAGTGTCTCATTTAAATCCTAAAATTTACACCAACTTCTTTTGATTCTATTTAACTTACCAGCTTTGTAAGGAAATTCTCTTTAGAACCTGCAAGTGGCATTTAGTGTGCTTCCTGTTATTTAGAAACACTATGTAGAGTTCAGTTTCTATCTATATTATAAACGTACATTGATCCTTCATAATATACAGATGTTGGAAAGGCTAGGATTCGAAAGTAGGGGTAAAATTGCGACTCGGGTTCTCGGGGAGCGATATTTCCGCCGTAGAAAATGGAATTTTATGTTCTCGCGGTTCGTTACGTGCACGCGAGTTAATTACACACGGTTGGATTTAGTGGTAGCCTCAGGCGAGAAAGTTAATCGAGCATCTAATAAGAACAGGAAGTTTAATCTGCTTTCTGTTCGGCGTCCCTCCCCCGGCATCTCGCCTCCGCAGAGGATCCGCAGGTAAGCGAATTGTACACGCTGTGTGACACTGAGTGAATGCGTTACTAAAACTTGGACGTGCATAGAAATTGCTTTCTTGTTCATTTCTCCGCGATCTCTCATTTGAGTCGTATCTTTTTCGCGAGAGTAGATCGACCGAATTAACAAACCTTTTACGACGGATGGTTTTCCAGAAGAAAAGCCCACGTTCTCTGCATGCAACGTAATAACCAGAGCGCATTAATTTCAGCCTCGTAACACGTGGGCCCGCGCATTTGTTTTCCGAGCGCGGGCGGAAGTAACGCTAACGAGATGAGAAAACGAGCAATTAACTTCGTCACTTCGGACGAGGAGGAAACGCGCAGATGATCGACGCGCGTTATCACGTGTAAGACATATGTTCGCTGGCCGCGCCTGCCCGGAGCGAATAGCGTTTAGTAAGTTATTACTACTACCGTGAGTTTTTACCGTCGCGCTGCCTGTCGCGCGATGCATCAGATTGGGTGAAGGAAATTTTGAGACGCCTTTCCGAAGACGGCGCCAGATTTTGCACTGTCCTCCGAGAATTTTCTCCAATAACACAGGCCTGCAAAACTGGAGGTATTGACAGTTGATTGGGATCTGACAATGTTTTCTTACATAATTTTTGCGTTGAATCCGAATCCATTTGCAGAATTGCTCTATCACGTCAGGATTTCGAGATATCCTAACCTAAAACTAGCAAAAGAGTCGTTTTTAATCATATTTTAAATTAAATTAAAAATTGAGAAATTTTTTTTTCAAATCCGTCAACGGTATCATTTATTACTATACGGCAAAATCCATTCTGAACCATCTCAAAGCGATTTTTTCTTCCGGAAATATACCAATTTAAAGTTCGATAAATTGTTCCTCGTAAGAGCCTACTCTCTAAGGCAAGGTGGATGACTACTCGGCCAGTGAAGGTGAAGGGACCGTATAGTAGTAAATGATACCGTTGATGGATCTGACAAAAAAATTTTCTCAATTTTTAATTTAATTTAAAATATGATTAAAAACAGCTTTTTGGCAACTTTAGGTTAGGATATTTCGAAATTCTGACGTGATAGAGCAACTCTGCGGCCGCATTCGGATTCAGCGCAAAAAATTACGTAAGAAAACATTGTCAGATCCCAATCAACAAAACCATGCAGGTATAATTAATGTCTCTCTGAACCGCTGAAAGACACGAGAATTAACCGGATTTTCGCGACGCAAAAACGTTCCCCCCGCATCGGAAATTTTTCTTCTCCGTCTGCATCGTGAACGAAAACACGATCCGGGAAAAGTCGAGTCTCAAAAGCTCAAGACCTCGCAACTCGAGCGATGCTCGCAATTGATCATACGACGGTTACGTCAGCTTGCGCGCTATAAATGTTCTACATGGGGTCGCGTTTTGTCCGGCAATTTAGCCTCGTCGACTTTAGCCGGGACATCGCCCCGCCGGCATAAATCAGTCTGTTCCGTTTCTTCTGCCGTTCGTATGATCCCTCTGTTTTCTTACGCAATCGTGCATATGCCGGCTAGACGCGGAAAAACTACCGGCAGGAAGCCACGTGAGACCCATGTGAAGAGTGAGCTCGATGGCCGAGCTTCCTGGTTTCCGTCGTCTCTTCTGGACGTTAATCCAGCCGGAATAATCTCACTCTTCTCGAGTATCGTTCGAGTTGAAATTACACAACGGGGAAATCTCCACTCGAAATAATTGTGATCTTGCATAAAGGAGAACAAGAAACGGGTGAACACATCTCTTGTAATTAAAACTACTTCACTTTACGACGGTGGATGCGCCTGGTGATTTTCAATCACCCCGTTCAACAAAACCCACCATCGGTAAGATAAAATGGAAATCGGCTCACTCACAAGAACCTATTTCATTAAACGGAAGATATTCAATTCCCCCGCGGCCCGACGATAGTCCCATTCATTTTTTTCCCACACACACGGGACTTGAAATCCAAGACGTGAATGCATTTAAGCTTCGCCGAGCTTATCGCGCGCGCGATAACTTTGCGCTCACCGAAGGAGCGTTCTTTGTAACGTCGGTCTCGTGGAGCGTCGGTCTCATGGTGCTTTATGAGCGGTAATTAAGCGCCTAGTAATGACTGGCGGACGTTGCCCCGCTGCCTCGTCGTAATCTCCGATCGGCGCCGATTTCAATAAACAGTAGCCGCCGGTAAATCTAGCTTTATAATAAAATAAATCCTCGCGCGTGACAACCGAGCGTCTCGGTTCACGATCCTCGGATAAGGACGGCCGATGTATAGGGTGGCCTTTTTCTATTCCCCGAGAAATGAAGTCGAACCTCTTGTCAACGAGAGAAAGAGTCGAGCGTCAGAAAGTTAATCGCGAGCGAGTGAGTCGCGTGTTCGACTCGTCTATGACGGAAATTTCAAATTACAAGCGAGTAAAATCCCTTGTGGAATTTCGTACGAAGGAGAACGATAATAGCGGGAACACCTTGTATATAAGGAAGAATGGGAGAAGAGACGAGATAGCTGAGAAGGAGAGAAGAGAGGAGAGAGAGAGAGGAGAGAGATTTATCGCCAGACTGTAGAATATACTATGCTGTTGTAATTACCGAACTTTGCTTTTGTTTGGTCGATAGTTTATTCACCATTCCTATTTTGCCCGGCGATGGGCTCGCGTTTGCAAATTTATTAGCGCAATTTGGCTCTCCTCCGCGACGTTAACAAAAAAAAAAAAAAAGAGAGAGAGATGGGACAAATCGAAATTAACACGAGAGATTAAACAAATTTCAACGAACTTTCAATGGGCCTGCGCGCAAAAAGCCGCCGGGATATTCGCGCGATAAATAATCAAACGCTCGGCGAACTCACCCCTCGGCTCAGTTCGCGGTAATTAAATACCAGAATACGCGTGGCACGCCCTTGTCCTAACGTATCCGGGGTAATGTAGGGAGTCGAGTCGTCGATATTGCACCGGCGCAATAAATGGTCCCGACCGTGAATATGAATATTAATTCCACCCTCCGAATTTGTCGGCCATTTGTCAGCAGCTGTCTACGTCGCTAATGGACGTGCAGATTTTCCGGCAGCTGCGTAAAAAATCCGGAGAACAAGCACGGGGCATTTTGGTGTCTCTCGTGGTCTCCTCCGAGGCATCCTCTCTGTGCCTTTTCGTCTTCTCTCGACCTGTAAGAGTTCTTACACGTGTCAGTGGCAGGAATGAAGAGGTAAAAAGTATCGGAAGTGTCCTCTCCTTTACCCGAATTCCTCTTTTTCCCCCCCAGATTCACCGTCAGCCGTTCGATACCTTCGTCTTCAAGCCGGGACCCCACGCGATATCAGCGTCTTCTCCCACGCGGTAGATTTATGATCGAAGAAACGTAGAACCTCCTCTCCGTCCTTTCCACGGTTCTGATCCCTCCCGGGCCCACCGCCGGGCACGCTGTCCACGGTAGGCATCCCCCTATTACATAAACGAGCCGCATGTTCTCGTACATAGACAGGACATTTCGGCTATCTCCCTGCGGTCGCTCGACACAGGCGTAGATAAACGCGTAGATATAATCGGCCACGCTGACAGAAGTCTCCGTTTCCCCTCTCGCGAGGGGAGAGCAGCTACCTGCCCCGCGGGATGCCTCCTCAGGATAGATCGGGGACGATCGCGGCACGACGATCGAGGGCTGGCTCGAATCATCGGAGAATTAGGGAGCATGATTCGAGCATTCCACGACGTCGCGATCCTCGCCGGGGAATGGACCGCCAGTCGATCGCCACGGCCGATCCGACATCTTTTCCAAGGTCGGTAAGCACCGGAAGCTGCTGCTAGCCCAAATTGAAATTTTGATCCTGCTCTTTCGACCTCAATATCTTATCTAACGTCTACTTTGATATCCTGAAGCCTATCAACCTGTTTTAATTTTATTTGATCTACAGCTTTGCCGAGAGATCTTCTTTAGAACTTACAAATAGCACTTTGTGCGTCTTCAGAGGCCCTAAATAAGACTTCAATTTCTATGTGTATTAAACATATACTAATCCTTCAACTATAAATATATATAGATTAGAAAGTCCAGGTCGAAAAGTAGGACTAAAATCTCGACTCGTAAAGTGTCCGTTTAGAGTTCGTTCTATACACCGCGATAAGATGCA